GATTACCACCACTACTACTATTTTTTTATTATTATTATCATCATTTGCATTATTATTACTACTGCTACTATTATTATATTGTTGTTATTATTATTATTATTATCATCAACATAATTCTCCCTCGAGTACTGTACAGTGATTGCTTACGCATGCTAATGGATACCGTAAAAGCTGTCACTTCACATATGATCATCAGCGTCACGAGAGCTTTTCAACTCCATGCGCACCTACTACGCGTGCACACAGATCTCTCGAATGAGTGACGGAGGGCTTGGGAGATCTAAGGACTTTTTTAAGTGCACAGTTGTACGTGTAGTCCTTAGCCTGACACCTGTGCTTTGTTTTTACGCTCTGCTCGTTGACGATGCCTTTAGCATGCCTGGCTCATCTGAATTTTGGTGTGAGTTAAAGTGCAGGTGTGTTTTGTGGTGTATGTAAGAAGAGATCTATCCTTGTTTTTGGTGAAGGAGAAAGGAGTCATCTGAATTCTAAATGAAAGAGCAGGGATGCTGTTTTGCATCGTTGCAGCAGGAGTCAATAATAGACAGCATCCCTTTTTGTAAATTATAATAAACATATAAGTGCTTTAGTGCATGGCATGCTGTTTGTCCTTTAATGATTGAGCTACAGCTGAATTGCTCTAAATAATAAATTCAGGACTTAAGAGTTGGAGAGGAACCACGGTTTGTTTAGTGTTTCTGAAATTGCTGTTGGTTTCAAGGTAATCGTGTCAGTAGCATATTAGGGCCTATATGGTAATGTTACAGACTTGAAAGGATAAAGCTAAATACATTTGCAGCTTGTTTGTTCAATAACACACAGTGTTGTCATCTTCATACATACATGCAGGTTTGTTGCTGTCAGACTTTAAATTGTTTGCAACTAATTGCTGAAAGCAAGAATAAAGCAATGACAGTCAGTTCAGCTGTGTGATGTTTAACTGTAGGTTAAGAAGAAATCAATATATAATGACAAGTTGGTACAGTTAAAAACAAATCAATTCTGTTTACAGTTGTAAAATTTCTGTTAACTGAGATGTTATTGATTGTGGCTAAACAGTTCCTCTGCACAAATTAAGAATTTCTCGTTGTCTATCATTGTTAGCATGGTATCAGCAAATAAACCATTGACTCAGCCAGTACAGTGCATTTGAGTTTGCTTGGAAGCAGCACTAACATCACATGTTCAATTTGCCTATTAAAAACTGGAATAGATAACCACCAACTTGTCTTTATGATAAAATAAGGCATGGAAAAAGTTTGTGATTAACTTGTGTGTACATTTTATAAACAGTTCCTTGGGGGCTGCATCTATTTCTTTAAGGAATTGATTTTTGTTTTGCATCACTAAAGTAATGCTGGTGCTCTTTGATTTGATACCTCACCTGTGTTAATTTAGCTGCGATGTTAAATCTGTTCAGAGATGGACGAAGTTAATCAGATTCATGATTTCTTGCTTTGCTGGTCTTAGAAAGCTGGCATAAAAGTCACCACTGTCCTGAAATTACTGAGTTACAGATAGTTTTAGATATGTTCATGGTTCTTCGATCTCATAATGTAATGAGATATAAAACCCTGATACTTTATTTCATAAGGAATACAATTCATCAAAAAGCTCGCTGATCTCAGATGTGAGCATCGATCATTTTAATCTAGACTTTTAAGATATCAAAGAAATAAAATGTACTTCTTGGAATGACATAGGCCTAGATAGCTGCACATATGTATATTATGACCTTGCGCAAAAAACCTTAACAATTATATATTATTTTTGTGTACATGCTTATGTTTCATTATTGACGCATGCATTCACATTATTCATCCGCATCTTAATGTACCCCTTTTGAATTTCTTCTAATTGAGTTTCAGACCTCAGAAAAAGAACTAGTCATTAAAAAATTGTGAGCCAACTAAATCTCCTTGTCTGGGTATCAATATTGTACATTTTTTTAATTGGCTTCATATTGTGTAATGGCCTCCTAGGAGAATGTTTAAAGGCAATTTATTTTAAATCTGGACTGCAGGATTCCTAACACTTTTGTCCCTTTCCCCACCCATAATAAAAAATGCTATTACAATTTTTTAAAAGAATGCCTTCATTTTTGTGTAATTCACAAAAATATTAAATCATGTGACATCATCAGCTCCTTCATTCTGTTTCATTTTGCCTGGGGGCCGGATGAAGGATCTATTGTGGTGGCACACATCACATCTAATGTTTTCCTAGGCTGAAATCTGTACTACATTTGCCATGACACCATGGAAATTCGGTGGCATCCATATTGGCTGTAGTCTGGGCTGTTCAGACAATGTGGGCTGTGGGCAGATCGCACCTGGGTGCTATGGAAATCGGATTCACCCAAGCACATTATCACCTAAGCACCTCATATTCTGTAAGCTATATGAATGATGTTGTGTGACCTGGAGACATTTCTCCAATGGGAGAAAACAAAGGTGCCCAGACACAGAAACCAGAACAAGCAGTCATAAGGGCCATGAGTGGGGAACAATAAAAAGGGCAAGAACGAACTTTGAAAAAAAATGAACAGGTTTTTTTAACAAGGTAAGAACACACCTTCCTAATGACATCATTTTCCTCCTGGCTGGAGTTCAGCTTTAAAACTTTTTGTACGGCTGCAAGTAATATTTATTTTATAATCCAATGCACCTATGATAACATTGTTTTAAGATTTCATAATTATACTTTACATTCCTGTGATGCTGACAGAAGTCATCTTAGCTTTGAATATAAGATTAGATATTTTCAAAGATCATTATAAATGTTTATATTTCCCATGCTACATAATTAATGTATTACATCTTTTCTCAACTACAGGATAAATACTCATAGCACTCAATACATTTGACAGTATTAATACTTTTTTATTTTTTTAATATCAAAGTATTTCAAACCCAAAACAAGATGCGGCAACGAGTGTGGTTGATACTAAATGATTACTAGGATAACAAACCTGTATTTACTTCAAACAGAGAGTTAGGTTAAGGCAATGTTTTACTTTATTAATTTATACTTTTCCTCATAGAGTAGTTAAGTCGTTGAAGCCAAACTGGTTTCATGATATTGTAAAACCTACATTTCCTTTATTTTTGTGTGCAGAACACCACTTTTAACTGTGTCCAGTACATTTTTTAAAAACATGTTAAGTTTAAAGTGAACCTGGGTTCCCTTCAGATACCCCAAACTTATATTACTATGCATAGCGAGCAAACAGATACATGGTAGAGCTACTTAAGGTAGAAAATTGGTCTAATATTAAAAAATATGTGCTACAGCAAATACTTATATGTGCATCTGCACCTACAGCTTTCTTTTCGAGCCTCTGCAAAGTACCACAAATTGATTGCCTGTTGAACCTGCCAGTGAAGTCCACTGAATGCAGCTTCCTGTGATGGTGTGGCAACAGTGCTGCACTGCTCCTGAATTCAGGAAAGATTTGTCACTGTAGGCTGTGCCTGCTTGCACTACACTTCCCAATCAGCACATGGCCACACCTAATACCCCATGCACATGGTCCTTCAAGAATAATCTGGGAAGTGTAAACAACTTGTTTTGCTTGCCATATAATTTTTCATGTGTTTAGATGTCCCTGGGTTTAGCCGCATTAGGACACATTTAGCCATGTTTATATGTGCATAGCTGTGTTAAGCTGCATAAAACCAGGCTAAATGGTCCCATGAAGCAGACATTTCTTGTTTGTATAAACACACATAGACTGACTGCACCTTGATGCTACTAAAAGTCTAGGTGTGCATTCAGTCATAGTAAAGCATTATACCTTCTAGGGGCACCTGGTAAGAACTCTGGGAAAAAATGTTCTTAACCCTTGTTATGGGGCTACCCCCACACTGCAAAAGTTAAAGTTGTATTAAAGCCACTTAGCTGATGGAGGCAGAGCGATGCGGAGGAACTGAAAACTTTTAAAGAACAGAAGTTGTATACAAAGGTGGGCCTCCTAGTTGTAAATTTTAAAAAAACCTGAAAAAGTTGTAAATTAAAAAAAAAGAAAAACTGAAGCTTTAATATCATTTTAAGTGCTCGTTTTTATTTAGGTGCTAAGAAAAAAAGTTATACCCACCCGGACCGCAGAACTAGCTGGCTGCTACTCCAATTCCTGAAGCCTGTTTCCTCCTCAGCTGCAGTTATGGTAAGTCCCTTGGTGTCTTCACCTCCTTTACACTGTGTATAGAATGTGATGACTCAAGGATCCTTATAGTTCCGCGGTGGAGAGTGAGAGAGGCTCCAGGGACCAGTCCAAGTGCATGCCACCTCTGAGGATCGGGTGAGTATAACTTTTTTTTTAGCACCTAGACAGATACGAGTACTTAATCCTTGCATTATGGGGGTAGCCCCACTGCGAGGGTAAGAACATTTTTGCCTTGAGTTCTCCTTTAATCGTCATGTGCATGGGGACGAATCCTGTTCACTGCTTTCTGAAAATAAGCACGGTCTTTGTTGCTTAAAGCTTCCCACTTTGAGCTCCAGTGCCTGGAAAGGTGAGCATGTCAGACATTAATAAAGGAGGATTTGGCTCAGGGTGATAGTGGACGTTTTTGTTTACTGCGTAAGACTTGTCATCCCATAGTAATTGTATGAGACTTGTTTAGACTATGTAAGCCATTAGGTGTACTTAAGAGCTAAGGAAGCTCAATAATGTATACAACTACTTACATTGTAATAGCTTCAGCTCTAAAAATAAGATTTGTCCTCTTGCTTTCCACTTCACATTGCTTGCTATTGGTCCTTCCTGGTGATGGATGGCCTCACTGACCAATAGCAAATGGTGGGATGTTTGTGAAGTCCCAATTTGCATATTAAAGCTACTTGGGCTTTAGAACTCTCTATGAGCTCTACAGGGTATCCCAGCCATGGACATTGTCATCTTTTTAGTATCTGCTATGGAGGTATGGTTGTAGTTAAAGATAACAAAGTGAAAAAAAAAACAATTGTGTGTGGAGCATTGAAATAAATATAATTTTAAACTGCCGATACCTTTTCATAAAGATTAAGGGGTCTATTCACGAAGCTGCCGTAGGCAGCTTGCGGCATTCGGCTCGACTTTTCTGCTCGGTCCCTCTGTGGGACCGAGCAGAACAGAAAAACAGTTTAAAAAGTAGTAAAATAGAAATAGAAAACGATTGTGCGGAGCTAGCAATGACAGCTAGCTCCACCCAACAGTTTTATATTGGCTGGCGGTTCTGCTGCCATAAAAAAAAAGAAAAAAAAGCCTAACTCTCCCAGGCACTCCGGGAGTCTCCCGCTCGCGGTCGCCAAGGAGAGAAACACTGCTCAGTAGTGGTGGACCTGATGGAGAACTGCAGCAGAGGGCGGGTGCAATGCTAGTTTGCTATTGGCTATTGCAAATTGAAATAGCCAATAGGAATCTAGCAATGCATTCCTATGGCCAAAATTATTATTTTTTTTTCTATTCTGACACGGCTCCGTGTCAGAATAAGAAAAATAAAGAAAAAGCAGTGTTTCTCTCCTTGGTGGCCGGGAGCGGGAGACTCCCGGAGCGCCAGGGAGAGATAGGCTGTCTGGAGATCAGTGTCCCTGGTTAGCTGGTAACCAGGGACGCTGATCTCTCTGCAAGTGGCCGGAGCCAGCCGTAAGATCACGGCTGGCTCCGCCCAGCTGTCAGAAGCAGGCGCTCGGCCAGCTTCGGCTTTCAGTGCAGCTCAGCCGAGCCGAGGCATATGCGTTCAGCTCGACTGAGCCGCTCGGCTAATGTAGTACCGAAAGGGGTCCTGTGGCCGAAGCTAGCCGAAGGATCGGCCGAAGCTACAGCTAACTCCTTCGGCTGCTTTGTGAATAGACCTCTAAATCTGCAGTACTTTTGCGATACCAGTAAGATTGTTTTGGGATAACTAAGGCACATTCAGTAGCAATTATTAGTGTATTTAAGTTTACAAATAAAAAAAAAAAAATATTTTTATGAAATGTAATCATTGCTTCTCAGTAAATATGCATATTCTTTTTGTAAACTCAGTTAATTTGAGAAATAAACATTAGCATTCGAGATGTGAGCACATGTATGTGTTTGCATGTATTTGTTTACAGGTACCAAGGTTATGATGTTTACAGAGAGTAGAATTTTCAGAATTATAAAAAGGTTGGTGGTCTTTTTATTATACATTATTAGGCATTATCAGTGACAAACAAGCAGTTAGGGAAGGTTAGGTGAAAGTTATGTCTTGCTCCCTTTGTTGGTCATCAGACAGATTAACCACTTGCTGACCGGGGTGTTAAACCCCCTTCCTGCCCAGGGCCATTTTTCAGTATTCAGCGCTGCGGTACTTTGACTGACTCAGTCATGCAAAACTGTACTGAAATGAATTTTATAAAAAATTTTAGGGACAGATAGAGCTTTCTTTTGGTGGTATTTAATTACCACTGGAGCTTTTTTTTTTTTTACTATATAATGAAAAGGACCGTAAATTTTGGAAAAAAAAAAGTTTTACCTAGGTTATGTTAAGAAAAACATTTATTATTACCCATATTTTTGGTAAAATATAAAAGACGGGGTCAGGTCGGTTAAAGAGACACCAAACATGTCAAGCTTTAAAATTGCGTACGCCCACAAAATCGCAACAAACTACCGTGCCTAAAATTGGCCATAGGCGACGCTTTAAAGCTTTTACCGCTCATCAGTTTAGGGTTAACAGTGATTGATGGGCCTGGAATTATTGCTCTCACTGGGATGTTTGCTGCGATCTGTAATATGTGCGGCACAATCGTTGTTTTTGCAAGTAGGCTCGCATATTTACGTGGGGACCTAAAACTTTTTTGTTTTTGTTTTTTAAGTGGTTTTCGGCCTCATATTACGCAGACTACAAGGAATTACCAGCAACTAGCTACAGAAGGGAAGAGATTTGGAACTTTAAATTACTATAATGGTGAATACATGAACAATAAGGGGTCTATTCACAAAGCTGCCGAAGCTGCTGTTTGGAGATCAGTGTCCCTGGTTAGCAGTTAACCAGGGACGCTGATCTCTCTGAAAGTGGCCGGAGCCAGCCATAAGATCACGGCTGGCTCCGCCCAGCTGTCAGAAGGGGTCCTGGGGCCGAAGCTAGCGGAAGGATCGGCCGAAGCAGATCCTTCGGCAGCTTCGTGAATAGACCCCTAAGTGTTAATTGTACTTTAAAATGGATTCCTCCCCCTATTGTTTGGAGTTAAGCCCTGAGACACCCTTGTTTTCATGGTATATTCAAATATGCTCTGTTGGATCTGTTTTAAATATGTATTCACTGATCAATTACTTATTTTATTTAAGTTACTTCCTCAAAGTTGCAATTCACAGTGTGTGTGTGTGTGTGTGTGTTTTGGATGTATGTATATGCGTGAGTGAATGCTGGAGGGAGAGGGGGTCAGCGCTGGAGGATTGGAGCGGGGGGTTGGGTGTTTGACGGGGGAATCCCTGTAGTCACGGCTCTCTGCAGGGAGATGATCGAAAAGTGAGCGAGCGACGGTATGTGTTTGCTCTCTTCCAGATCTATTGAGCCGACGCGTGACAGTTTCATTGTCACACGTCGGCTCGATCTATGAGGATGAGTGATTTTCACTCACCCCATAGTTCTCCTTTAAGGCAAATGTTTTTAAAGTGGATCTTTACCCCGTTTCACTACAAATCATATCAGCATGCATGCTAATTTAAAATCATCTTAAATTCATTAGTTAAACAAACTTGTTTGTCATTTCCTTACAAATAGAGTTAATCTACTTCCTGGTCTAGTTTTTGCACAAATGATGTAATGTGCCCAAGTGTTGCATCCTGGGAAGGTTACATCATAATCTCCGGGTAAGGCATTTTCCTCCCCTGAGATGTTATGCATGGTAACATGTCCTAGTAACATGTGCTAGAGTTCCATGAACTAAAGGGAGAGCTAGTAACCTGCCCTTAGTTAACATGGCCAGTGTCAGAAGTCAAGGAAAGAAAAGATAAATAAGGTATGCAAATAATACAAAGCCTGCAATTATCAAGAAGTATCTGTTTGTAGATTGCCATTACTAAACATTTCTAAAGGTATGTTTGTTGTTATTTTAAAGATCTGGGTAAAGTTCCTCTTTAACCAGTAATTTCATGATAGCTGCTCAATTCCATATTACGTAAAATGCATTGAGAGGAAACTCAAATTAAAAAAAAAAAACATATGATTTAGTGTTCATAAAATGTACTATAAAACAAAAAATTCTAGTTTAATCTGCAGCAAGCCATGGTTTACTAGAAATAGGAAGTAGGAAAACATTCAAACAATGCTTCAATGTATGGGTTTTTGTGTATAATGTAGGTGTACAGAACTTTTCCACAAATGTCCTTTCTTGCTTTTTGCTGCTCACGGCAGTTTTTCTGTTTTTACAACACTGATTATAATTATGCGAGACTCTCCCACTTAGCAATTAGGAAGTAGAAAGTGACTTCACTAAGTAGGAAAAATGGAATCCATGTGTGACTATAAAAATCCACTCGTCCACTTGTCTGTGACGAGAGGACAGTGGCACCCAACGAGCAGCTTCCCGGCTGGCCGTTGTAATTTCACGGCCGGCCGGGAGCTTTACATTCAAGCGATCAAGCATCTCAAGAGACGCTCCATTGCTTGTATTAGCAGCTGTCACTGCCGTTGCCGGTCCCGAGATCCGCTGTGCCCGATGCGGCCGCGACCGGCACGGCTCTCTGACAGGAGATCAGTATACGGTTATCCCTTTGATCTTCTCTCAGTCTCCGAATGCAGGAAGTGATGTATATGGGGGACTAAGAAGCCCCTTCTGTGATGTATATTACTTCACTTCCTGCATTCAGTGTCACTCTCCAGCTACAGAAGCTGATGAAGCCGGTCTCTGCTTCATCAGCTTCTCTGGGGGGGTCCCTAGGTGACATTAGGGGTCTTGGAGACCCCTGATGTCTCCATAAAGAGGACCTGGCATGCAATAAAGTTGTGTGTAAAAGAATCATAAAAAAAAAGCATAAAAAAATTGAAAAGAAAACAATTTTTTTAAGTCACCGCTCCCCACATACACACGCAGATATGCGTCGGGTGCGTCTACGTGCGAAAACAATTGCGCCTATTATGCCGCACATGTTACATTTCGCCGCAAACGTCTGAGTGAGAGCAATAATTTTAGGGCCATTAACACACGATAACACTAAACCGATGAGCAGTAAAAGCGTTTTAAGCGTCACCTATGGGTCTATGGGTGTTCACAATTTTAAGGCTTGACATGTTTGGTGTCTATTTACCCGACGTGATCCCAACTTTTATGTTTTACCAAAAATATGGGTAAGAATAAATGTTTTATAACAGAATGTAGGGAAACTTTTTTCTTTACATTTATGGTACTTTTTTTGTTATACAGTAAAAAAAATAACAACCCCCCCGAGGTGATTATATACCTCAAAAAGAAAGCTCTATCTGTCTATAATAACCAAATGTCTCTTATTTGGAGAGATTGTACCCTCTTTTGGAACCAAATCCCTTTGTCCCTTATTTCTCCTCTGTTGCCCCTGTTTTTTCTAATGTAAAAACCTCTGTGCATGTACTCGTTTGAACTGCCAACTTCCAAAATAGTTTGTTATTTTGAAAATCCAGTATAAAAGAAATGCAGTTGTGAAAAAAGCATTGGTTGGTTTAACCAATCATTTCTGTGTATTAATTCTTGCCTGTCCAGTCCAGTCCAGTCAGGAGGATTTTTTTAGGCGCCAGTTCCATTGACAACAACTAGAGAAAACGTCAAAAATAATGAGCAATTGTTACCCCATTAGTGATGTGTACCGCCCCGCAAAATTCAAAAGGTTGCAATTTTTTTCAACACACATGTTTAATGTGACTTTTAGGCCTTTTTATGTCACACAAAATTTTTACAACTGTGTTTCAAACCTATATTTTCAGCAAAAAATACACACAAATGTATTCTCTTACACACAAATATAACATTTTTTTCTTTGTAAAAGATTATACCGTGTCAAGTTAATAGATTCCAAATATGTTGAACCTTAAAATTGTGTACAAAATAGAGAAAAATTGCTATACTCAAATATGCAATGCTTGAAAAATCTTTACAGCTCATCAGTTTGGAGTTAACCATAATTAATGCACTTAGCATTATCTCTCATACTCACACATTATTCCTCTCACACAGACATACACAGCAATACCTAATATGTGTTACCTGCTGTTTATGTATGAACATGCATCATAGGTGCCCATATGCATTCATGTGTGCGTGGATGGGGTGGGAGCAATACTTTACATATTGTTTGTTTTGTAATTTATTTTACTAGATTTTTATTTTAAAACATTATATATATATATATACACAGGTGAAACTTGAATAATTAGAATATCGTGCAAAGTTCATTTATTTCACTAATGCAACTTAAAAGGTGAAACTAATATATGAGATAGACTCATTACATGCAAAGCAAGATAATTCAAGCCGTGATTTGTCATAATTGTGATGATTATGGCTTACAGCTCATGAAAACCCCTAGAACCCCAAATCCACAACCTCAAAAAAGTAGATTATTACATGCAATCAATAAAACAAGGATTGTACATAGAACAATATCGGACCTCTGAAAAGTACAAGCATGCATATGTACTCAGTACTTGGTTTGGGCCCCTTTTGCAGCACTTACTGCAATTACTTTTGCACGATATTCTAATTATTCGAGTTTCACCTGTATATATAAAAACAGACACAATTTGATTTGCTCCTTTCCTGGCCATAGCCAGAATTTGACAGCTGGAATCAGATATGCTCAAAACAGAGCGTATCCACATTCAACACAGAAGGAGGATTGGTAAACTCGGAGCATTATTTGGGTTAGTAATTGAATGTAAAAATGTTGATGCTTGGGGTTAATTGTTTTTAAATAGAATTTTGAGGTTAGCGCTAAGGAGGTTAAAGAGCTGGCAGTGCTTGTGCTCTTATTTTACATTCAATTTTACTTCTACATTATTCCAGTACAAGGGTATATATCCTGCATGTTTGTGAAACAATTTCTGCAATAATATTTAGAAGCAAAGAAACTGGAATGTGACAAGAATTAAATTGTTCAAAAGATCAAAAAAACTGAGTAAATGCAATCCGAAAGTTTATTGCAGTGATCCAAACAGGTTCCCAAAATATATATATAAATCCAAGAGAACAATAAATGTATACATCACCATGAACATCTCCCACACCACGCCAACGCCTCTCATGCGTTTCACCACCTGGGCTTAATCATAACCTCTATTATTAAGCCCAGGTGGTGAAACACGTGAGGGCGTTGGTGTGGGAGATGTTCATGGTGATGTTCACGTTCATTGTTCTCTTGGATTTATATATATTTTTTTGGAACCTGTTTGGATTACTGCAATAAAATTTCGGATTGCATTTACTCTGGTTTTGTGCGGTCGATCTTTTGAACATTTGTTTGAACAAGTGTGAAGCACACTATAGCCTGCACCCATAGTATGGACTGAGTGCAACAGATGTTAGAATGGAGCGGTGAATCTATGAAGTATTAAATGATGTCCTCTTTTTGTGCCTCTTTTGCTAAAACACCCTCATAAATGCTACTTCTGCAATACATGCCATTTGATGTTTGACAAAATTTGGTAATCTTGGTATATATATATTGCTTTAATTCTTGTCTGATCTTGCAACTTAATTTAGATAGATTAGTTGCCAGAAGAGGTTTATACTATATGCAGACATAAATAGCATTGTAAAAATGCCAAATAGTGATTGACTCAAAGCAGTTGTGGATCCTTTAAGGAATTACTTCTTAAAAGAAAGGGCTTATTATTCCAATTTAGAATTCTGGTTTAATAATTAGGGGGTTATTTACAAAGCTGCCAAATGCAGCCGAGTGAATAACCCAGCCGAAGTAAAGTGAGCCGAAAGCAGTTCAGCTATTCACTTCAGCCCTGTATGGCTGAATTAAGCGTACATCGGCTGCAATCAGCCATACATCAGCTGGCTTCGGTTGCCTTCATTCTCCTCAACATGCTCTGCATGTTCGGCCAAGCCCTAGTGCAGAAGGAGTTTGACTCAGCCGATCCAACAACTGGATCGGCTGACTTGAAGCTCCGGCAGTTCACTCGCTTAAAGTGAGTGCATAGCTGAATGCCTCCAAGCAGCATTCGGCTCGGCTATTCTGCTTGCTAACCCCGAGGTAGCAAGCAGAATAGGAAAAAATGTAAACAAAAGAATAAATATTAAAAAATCATTTAAATAAATGGAAAAAAGGAAAATAAAGAAAAATGTTATAAAAATAATAAAACATTTTTAAAGAAAAGAAAAAAACAGCATGTGTTTCCCCTCCCAAACAATGCCAGGCCCTTTAGGTCAGGTAGGAATGTTAGGAGGGACCCCTATTTAAAAGAAATGTGTGAGGTTACCCCCAAAAGTCATACTAGGCCCTTAGGGTCTGGTCGCAATTTTAGGAGGGACCCCAAGTTAAAAAAATGTGTGGGTTCCCCCCCAAAATCATTTTATCCCCCCCCTTGTGAATGAGTAAGGAGTACTGGTACCCCTACCCATTCACTAAAGGGTTAAAATAGAATTGAAAAAAAGGAGGCCAGACTTTAATCAAAAATCATTTAAATTGAAATAAAAGCACAACAAAGGATTTTTGGCAATTCCTTTATTAAAAAAACAAAAAAATGGACCGCCCCACCGATGTAATCCTAAATTCAATTACGGTGCCCAGCATTGTCCATGACAATGACGACTCAACGAAATAAAATAAATAATAATAGTAAAGAAAACGACACCCGCGACCCGACAGCACATGACATACTCCTGCCGCAGAATTAAGAATCTGACAGATGACGGCAAAATATAAACAATTGGGCGGAGCTAGTGGTGACATCAGCTGCCAGGGTCTTCCAGCAGGTCCCAGACAAAGTAACCTGAGGACGCTGGTCTGCCATTACATGACAACAGCTGGGCGGAGCCAGCTGTGACATTACGGCCAACTCCGCCGTACAACAACCGGGTGGAGCTAGCCATGACATCTCGGCTTGCTCTGCCCAGCTATTGTCATTAATAGGGTGAACGGTCTGCTTTGCAGACCATTCACCCTGCTTCAGCTGGGACTACGGCTGAGCCGTTTGCCTGCCTTTGGCTGCTTTACGGGCTATAGTGAATAGCCCGTACAGCAGCCCTTTGGACTCGGGCCGAAGTGAGCCAAAGGATCAGCCAAAGCTACGGCTGGATCCTCCGGCTCATTAGTGAATAACCTTCTTAGTTTTGATTGTATTCATAGTACCAAATAGAAATGTTTTGACTCATGAAAAACTGGATGTTTGATAGAAGTACAGGTATTACTTATTTAGCATTTAAACATGTGCATAGTCATACAGAGTCTCCTGTGGAAAAACAAGTGGAAGACATGATAACAGAATTGATGCTCAGAGCAACCAGAAAATGTACCAGTGCTTTTTTATGTCCCAGATTTATTTATTTGCATTTATTAAAGATTAAAAAAAACAAAAGTATAATAAAACATATTTAAACTGTCCAGAAAAATGCTGTACAATGTTAAATAATAAAGTAACAAGCATTACTCATGTTCCAAATTATGTTGTTCAGGTACAGTGCATTGTATATGTTTTATCATTGTGTAAAACATAGAATAGAAAAAAGTATTTATTATAGGCTAACACCACCTTTTGTGTTGTTTTGGTTCGTGTCTATGTGTGAACTAGGAATAGGGAGGAATGGAAGACTCACTAGAGAGTTCTGAAAATTCCACTGACCCTGTCTCCCAGCAATTACTGTATACGATGACAAAAACTGATCCACCAA